CAGCACAGAATTTCAACAAGTGGCATGAGATACAGCAATATGTGAAGAGTGTGTCATAATAAAAATTGAGGACATATGTTTCCTGATAAAGAAATGAGCTGAGATGAGAGTGGGTGGTGGGGGAAGGCACTATAATGCTTGGAATAAAAAAAAAATCTGGAAATAATTTACGCAAAAAACATGAGTATGAATAGAGATACAGTGTCTTTTCTATTGGCAAAGTATCTCATCACACCCAGCTAGAGAAACAGATTTGGGCTGTTTTCCCAGCACAAATGTATGTATACTACATGACTTGCATAAATTTCATGCACCAAATGTGAACTCTATGCTATCCCAGATTCTCCACAATAGGATTCTTTATAGTCTTGGGCTTCCTATATCCAGGCTTTATGGAAACTATTCTCATGGGTTTACATCATGGAAAGAGCCATGCTCAAATTGATTCTGACAAGACCAAAATAGTTTGTTGCATTCCATTTCTTTGAGATGAAAATAATGATGTGCCCTCATGGCCTTTGAAGGCTGGTCAGTAACAGAGGAAAGTTGCAAAGGAAGTCTATATTTTTCCTCCCCTTTGTAGGAAGAGATAGAACCTAGCAGGACCACACAAAGTGCCAGATGGAGCTCATCTTACTGACACCGAAGGGTCCTCATAGCATTAGTCACTCCAAATGAGTCATTGTGAAGATGAAATATGAGTGTCAACAAAGCCCACTGTAGTTTTCAGAGATAATATTTTGTTCTAAATGAGAAAATGACCACAACCTCTGATCTATCTACCTCACGATTTTGATCCCTGCAAATCTAATCTTTGGTTTTGCTGACACTTTTTTTATCCTGTCAGGGTACTTCACAGTGGGCAGAAAATCAATTTACATAAAGATGAGGAACAAAATGTCTATCTGTTACATTTTTTTTCCTGTCTTGCTCCTGAAAAAAGATCTAGAAAACTGACAAGGGAAAAAGCATCAAACCTACATTTTGCTATTAGAATTGGTACTATTTATTTTTAGGTGAACATTAGACAGCACACATTTTTCATTAAATTGCCTTAAGAGATGTTGGAATGTAACCAGTATTAAGTCTGAAATATAATTAACATAGACTGTCTCAAATTTATATTTATTTGTGTTGAGTTGAGAAACTTACTTTCATTATATAAACATCCTTTTGGATAATAGCTATTTAAATTTTCCCCCTAAACAGCTACCTTTCAAACTCTGAAGCACTTTCTGTCAGGCTTTTTATAAAATATGAGCCAAGCCAAGTATCACTTTAATAATAGCACTAGCAATAGAATTTAGACTTATATACTAGTTCATAGTGCTTTACAGTCCTCTCTAAGCAATTTGTAAACATATTCCCCCTAAAATCTGGCTTCTGATTTTACTGACATTGGAAAGATGGAAGACTGAGTCAACCTTGAGCTGGTCAGGATCGAACTGCTGGCAGTGGAATGCAGTATTAGCCTGAAAGACTGCATTCTAACCACTGTGCCACCACAGCTCATTTCAGTCACATAGATGGCCTTTACCAAAATAAAATTATTTGGATTGTGGTTATTCACCATTGTGTTCCTATCTGAAGTAATATACTCATGTTACTAATGTTGCCTAAGGAAATGTGTGTGGCTGAGGTATAAGGTCTTGGTACATGAACCATCCAAACAACATCCTAAAACAATTTTCTCTACTCAGTGCCCTCAAAATATTTCAGGGCTATTAATTCACCACCATTCTTAACCACAAAGCTATGTAGTCACACCACTGAAATAACACTTGAATTAATCTTGGATTAAAAATATGCTTAAACTGCAGACAATTTCAGTCCATCCCTACTGATATTCACATGTACTTGTGGTTTGTAGTGTGATTTTAGCAGATAAACTGAGGAATGAGTAGGTTTGTAACCGAAGTTGCATCAAGGAAAACTGCATAAAACCAGGTAGAACTCTGTTCTTCACATTTTACTTGTCTTCACTTAATAATGTGTACTCAGTTGACTCATTTTCCTGCATTCACACAGCATGCTAAACTACTATGGTTTGGATTCCACACAACAGGCTAAGCAAAAATGTGCTTGGTTAATATGTGATGGCTTACATAAAATTTGTTATTTCTTGCTCCCATATAATTAAACAAAGATTCAATATGAGTCACTTGTTCAATCTCTGTATTATTGAAAAAGAAGGAATCCCTTTGAGAGTCAGTGTGCAATAAATTCTTAAGCTCTACTTCGAGAGGCATGATTTGGCACCAGAAAGAAACCAGAAAGCTCCCATTATATGAAAGAATGCATTAAGATATAAAAGTAATGTTTTAATTTATTTGGGGAAATGAAACAAAGACAATAACTGTCAATGAAGTCTGATGGAGACATGCACCCTGCTGAGGTATAAAAAACGTGACTGATAAGCTTTCAGTTCATGGAATTACTTTATTGGTAAAATCTTCTTCATCCCTTTTTCTCTTTCCTTCATTCTAACCTCTTCTCTGCTGTCTACCTCCCACTCACTCAGCTGCAGTTTGGCTGTTGTTTCAGGCACAGATCCTCTGGCAGCTGTTTCCTTTTTAAAAACAATCAGCCTGCACCTACCTACCGAGTGCTTTATCACTTTTAATAGCAGCTGAAGTGTCTTAAAGTTTCCAGCTGCCAACCACATCTTCAAGACAGCAGCTGGATATGAGCTCCATTATAAGTTTTATGCAGCCGCATGACTCTGTAGTAGCACATACAGTATATTATGAATGCAGTTAATCTCATGCTTTGGAAGAGCATTACAGAATCCTTTAGTACGTTAAATGCCATGTGACAGCATTCTCATATACTGTAAATACTCTTTTGTATCAAGACATGCATTTTCCAGCTGTGGAGTTTATAGCTTGAAGCTTCTACCCAAGAACCCATGAAAAGGGAAACATGCCTTGGCAAATGTTGGCAATGGTAAAAGCTGTTGTGCTGCCACTTCTTTTCATTCTTAAGCTATGGAATGTAAAATAATATGCTTGTGCTCACACTCTCACTCACATTTACACAGCATTAGGGTGAGGTTTTCAGCTCTCATTTGCATGACATCTACACTACCTTGGAAAAGAAACTAGCTTCTGGAAAGGGGAAAAAAACTTCAAGAAAGAAGGGAACTATCAGTTATTTTATACCTTCATATTGTGGCATAAAACAACCACCAAAATTCGTAATCACTAGACCAATTTGATCAAATGGTTAATGCACCAGCCTAGAAACCAGGAAACTGAGTTCTAGTTTCAATCTTAGGCATGAAAGCCAGCAGGGTGATTTTGGGTCAATCACTCTCTTTCAGCCCAACCCACTTTATGAGATTGCTGTTGTGAGGAAAATATGAAGGGGGAGGAGTATTAGGTACATTTGTGGCCTTGAGTTATTTATAAAAGTAATAAGGGCAGGAAATTAAAAAAACCCATCAATTCACAGTCACTCAGGCGCTCGTCACTTCCCGCCTGGACTACTGCAATGCTCTCTACATGGGGCTCCCCTTGATGAGCACCCGGAGGCTCCAACTGGTGCAGAATGCGGCCGCGCGGGGGATTATGGGAGCGAAGGGCTGCTCCCATGTGACACCTCTCCTGCATGAGCTGCATTGGCTTTCAGTGGTCTTCCGGGTGTGCTTCAAGGTATTGGTCACCACCTTTAAAGCGCTCCATGGCATGGGACCTGGGTATTTGCGGGACCGCCTTCTGCCGCCGATAGCCTCCCACCGACCAGTACGCTCCCACAGAGAGGGACTCTTCAGGGTGCCGTCAGCCAGGCAATGTCGGCTGGCGACCCCCAAGGGGAGGGCCTTCTCTGTGGCAGCTCCTGGCCTCTGGAACGATTTGCCCCCGGAGATACGAAGGATATCGGATCTCCGGGTTTTTTGCCATGCCCTAAAAACTTTTCTTTTCCATCAAGCAGGGCTGGCGTGAAACACCCCTCCCCCCCTTTTTTTTTAGTTTTTTAGCTTTTTAAATTGTCAAAGGGGTTTTAGTTTTCAATGTTTTAAATTTTTGGGCCACAGTTATTTAATTCTTTTAATAATTTTAAATTTTGTATTGATATGTGTTTTAGTTCTGGCTGTGCACCGCCCTGAGTCCACTTGGAGAAGGGCGGGATATAAATTGAATAAAATAAAATAAATAAAATTAAATTATTTTTTTTAAAAAAGAATTAAGTGCTAACATAAATAGTAAAGCAGCAACAAATCATCTCCATTTTAATTTATGAGGCAGCACTAACCATTTCAGGGAAAAGCAAATGTGAATAATTGTAGCAACTACCATAGTTCAGTGTGACATCATCTTCTGTTCATTGCTCTTTCACCTTCAGTACCCCTTTCATCTAGCTGATACTGCTTACAGATCAAGTCATAAACTATTGTTTGGCATCATACATAAAAATACTGATAGAACTCAGGTTAGGAGGAAAATACAGCTTTGCCCGTGGAAGATCCTATGTTTGATGTTTGTTATTTCTACTTTTAAAAGACCTCAGGCCATTAAACTGGAAAGCCTTTTCCAGATTACAAAATTATTACTGTTTCTCAAAGCAGGCCATACCAGGTCAAAGTATATTCAAAAAGAGAGCTAAACATCACGGCATCTTTTCTACACCCCACCCAAAATTGTAATTAAATTGTATAGATTGCTTCAGCTTCCCTGCCTTATTACTTCTGGTATGCAATTCCACAAGGGAAAGATTAATGCAGAGGCAAGTATTCATATAATCTTTAAAATGCTCATTTATTTGATTTTATGTTTATCCTGACTTTGCACCAATAATTGACATTGAAGACAGCCGCTGATTAAACACTGTCATGATTTCCTATTAGATTACAACCAGACTAAAGCAGCTTTCACCAGCATTAGTAATTTTGCATATGGCAAAAGAAATAAATCATTAGTTATTGTCACTGGAAAGATTGAAACCATTAAAAAAATAAACAAAAATCCTCACATACATGTACTTTCCTAAATTAAGTTTACCTTCCCAAATTTGATTTCAATGCAGTTTTCTTTAAATTTCTCCTGTAAAGTCTCTGCTAGCTGACAGAGCAAAGCACCATTATCCAATTTCTCCATGAAGGTTTCAGCTGTTATTTCTTTCCCTGAAAAAGATACAAAAGGAATACCAATCAGCACCAGTTTTGTGGGATTGTTCATTGTGTGGAAAAACATGATTGCACTGTGGATTTTGTTGCATTAAATTGTGATTGCTCCATTATAAATCACATACTCATTTTAAAAAAAACATGGCAGAACCTTTATTGAAGGAAAGCTATAGTCAATGAAGTCAAAACATATTTTATTTCATGATTGCCAATCTGTATTTTCCCCACAGCAGTTAATGGTAATACTGAAGAGTGTTGTTCTAAAGCTTAAAACACATGTAGCCAATGTAGTAGCTTCACATTCTGAGACATTTCTTATAAATGCAGATGATTGCAATGCCAGATTGTCTGAAAAGATATGTTTCCATAATCTAAATTTAGCACTTTTCCTTTAGGATTTGGGGAGGATGACATTACACTAGAGCACCAGTCAAAAGACATGATTTAACTTTGATGAAAAGGTGCTGGAAGCATCAGCCAATGGATTGGATGTCATTTACCTTAATGAGCTGGGGGGATGAGGATGGTGGAAGTATTTGATACTTTTTGGAGCAGAAAAAGAGTATTTTGCTTATTCTGATTTAATAAATATTATAGCTCTATTTAATCTTCACAGTTATAGTTTTCTACCCACTGGAATGAGTTCCTTCTGAGATCTGGTTGCCTTCCATTCTGATAGCATTCCAGAGGGCCTTGAAAAGACCTGCTGTTCTCCTAGAACTGGGCATGGATAGTTGAAGCCCTTTGCTGGATAATGGTTACAACTGTTCTTTGTGTTGCTAGCAGGATTTATCACTTTTTTTGTTTTAGCTTTATTCTTCCTTTACTTTTCTAATTTATCTTCTATTTTTAATTTGTTTGAATATATTGTGAAATAACTGAACACATCCTGGAATCAGCACCAAAATGAATTTTTATTGATTGATTTATTATTGGTAAATGCCACTTAATAGTGCTAATAACACCACTTATACACCTTCGGCATTGATAAAATTACCATCAATAACTGCAAAAGGCAGAAAGGATGCATATAGAAGTACAAAAAAGGAAATATGACAATTTTTTTTTAAAAAAATATTTAACTTTTTATAAACAGCAATAGATGAATACCTAACCAGTTTAAATAAATAAGGATAATAATGCATTTATAAATAAACAGACAACAGCAAGCCAGCTGAGAAAGGACAATTGGCACAAAGAAATCCAAAAGATCTTTGTACTAAAAACAAAGGCAATTACCTCGTACTACACCTTTGTACGATCAGCTCGACAAAATGACCAAGAGAACAGGTTTTGAGTAATGTGCCCTAAATGGCACTGCCCTTGAGCTTTTTATGGTAAAAAAGAATGTCAGACAAACGTCCATCAGTGGTAAGTGGTATGTAATGCTTCTATCCCTCATTCTTGTCTCCAATGACAAGACTACATGATAGCAAATTGTTGCAAACAGTCCCGTAAGATTGCCTTATCCATTTATTGCATCTTGATCATTTTTGATCTTCCAATAATCTTTTCTAAGTATCTTCCTGGCAATACCTAGTTTGCATCAAAATAGGGATGCAGAAAAGCACTGCTCCTTCTATTACAGAATCTGTTCTGTACCAGACAGCCAGAAATGCTGTTGTAAAATAACTGGAATAATTAGAAGATAGTTATTTTGTTTGTTTTCACGGCCCTCTGTATGCAGACATGGGAGACTAACAGTGACAGAGTTGGAAGGGACCTTGGAGGTCATCTAGTCCAGCCCCCTGCTCACGCAGGAGACCTCTACCAGGGATTCGAACTGCCGACCTTTCTGATTGACAAGCTCAGTGTCTTAGCCACTGAGCCACCTAGTCAGGCTAGACATAGAATTATTATGAAGATACTTTATGATTTCTACAAATGCATTTATACCTTGCAAACCAAATAACAATCTGACTCTTACATCCGGGGCAAAATTCCAACATCAGGATTTCTTAACAAAACAACCCCATCTATGCAAACTCAAAAAAGACTAATATAAAAATCTCCCTCAAATCTCCAAACAAAATATCTTTCTTTCCATGAGACCTGAAGGTTTCCAAGTTCAGTCACAGTAAAGGATCGTGGCTTTTTGTGTTTCTTTAATTTAATGTCTCAGCTGGTAAATTGTTATGTAATTTTGTGCTCTTTAAAATTATAGCTTGCCCAAAGCCTAAGACCAAAACCTAAATGGCTATTATCATATTGTGGAAATTACAGAGTTTCTTTACTTGCCACTTAGAAGTTTATACAACAAATCAAAACCTAATTTAGTAAGCTTGACATTTAATTTATTTATCAATTTATTTGCTTAATACTGAAGGCTGACCATTATGCAAAAATATGAAATGTAAAAAACCAATTTTTGTGAATCTAATGAAGTGCATTAATATTGAAGCCATAATTAAAATGTTAGTCATTTAAGATATAAAAAGCATATTGCTTTTGCAGCAATACATATCAACACATTCTAGCTTTTTCTTTAATTATGACAAAAAATATGAGTGCATTATAGTTATCACATTAAATTCTAATAGTTGTCTAATGACTGATCTATACTGAAAGCTTTTTTGAGTATATAAACTCTATTATACAATAGTTGCTCCACTTTTTTCGCTTCTAACATAACAGAATATTTTAACTGGGCCAAGATCTATTCACAAATTTATTAATACATTTACAATATTTGATGGTAGAATACTATCAGTGAAGTTTCATTTAGCACACATACCTTTAAGCATGAGTAAAATGGTCATATGATATCCTAATCATATCCTGTTTCATGATTTATGGTTCTGCCCTACTTCATTAGTTTATTTTACATAAACTAGTCAAAGTAAAAAAAAAAAAAAAGGTTAATCAGATGCTGAAATAAATGCTGTTAACCACCACAAACCTGCAAATTAAAATTAATGAATTTTACTTTCAACATCTCTACCTGAAAAATAAGTAAGTTACATCAGCCTTCAGTATACAGACTATGAGCTCAGCAAGGAACATTTCTTTATCTACAACAATCAGCTTGAAATCCAAGAGACTTCAACCCTCTCAAAGGTCTAATGCAGTGATGGTGAACCTTTTCGGCACTGAGTGCCCAAACCGGAATACATGTGCATGTGCATGATGCATGTGCACGCAACGTGTGCTGGAGCACCGGAAATGGGAAGACCACCTGGCCAGTGCACATGTGCGCACTGGCCAGCTGGTCTTCAGGTTTCTGGCGTGTGCATGCATGCAGGCCAGCTGATCTTTGCACTCGCCAGAGCACCGGAAACCCAAGACCAGCTGGCCAGTGCTTGCATGCCTGTTTTTCGGGCCATTTTTGGCTGTTTTTCGGGGCATTTTCAGGGCATTTTCCAGCACTCTGGTGCCCACGAAGACCAGAAGCCAGAAGAGCAGTTCTGCCTGCCACCTCTGGGACTAAGGACTCTATGTGATGATGAGCAATAAGCTAATGAATTACCTAAAACAACCACTATTTAGTAGTGACATTTCCAATTCTCACTTAATATTCAGATACTAGGGGAAATGATGTCACAAGATCATGAGCAGAAAGAGATGCATTCACTTCCTTCCTTATTTGAGAGCTGATGTTCATACAGTGTGGCTGTCTGCTTTCTGATTGGCATTACTTGCTAACACAAAGTAGAACAAACAGGATTAGTTTCACTTATTCAACACACATCCCACACATACAAGTTCTATGAATTCAAGAGACTATCTTGCATGCAAAAACCCTGCTTCAAAAATGGGAGAAGTCAGGCAGAGATGGATGGATGGAGCAACTTTAATTATTTACTTTATTATTAAATCATATGATTTTACAGGGAGTTGGTATTAGCTATAAAAAAATATTTTGGCACTGAGATTCTGCTGGCCCCACAAAGGCTAAGCAGAATCCAACAGAGTTAATATTGAATAGGAGAAACCAGAAAATCCCAAGGCAGTGGGCCAGAATGGAAGTCGAAGAAACACCTCAGAAGAAAGCTGTAACAAATATTTTGCCTTACCGCCAAGAAATGACTAAGTAGTCACCAGGACTCAATCCTGACTTCTGCAGAGAACCTTCACTGTTTATTTTATTCAAAAATAAGGCCACAATGTTGATTTCTTTAGCAGACCCCAAAAAAACATATGAATAAAGGAAATCACCAGAATAAGCAGGACTAACATTTTCAACTATATTTTTCAGGATTTGCATGAGTTAATTGATAAAACAGATCCCTTGCAGAATTTTTTTCCCCTTCAAAATTCCTCCCAAAGGGGAAAAAAAGTCTCATTTTGGAGGGATTTGGACATGCATTCAATTTCCTAATGTCACTATTCCTAAAACAGGTTTGAAAAATTTTGGATCTGACCATTCTAGGGAGACCTGGGCATAGAGAGATTTTTAAAAATGTAAGTACAGTAGATTGTGCTTCTTGGGCTTCTGCTGCAGTTTCTTAATTATATGATTTTGAAGTGGAGAAGGCTGATAGATTAATAATTATGCAATAGTTATAGGTCCACGGGTTTAAAAAGAAAATCTGCTTGCAAAAACATGGTTCTCCTTCCCGAAATGAAATTTAGCTGCTGGGTAGTAGTGAGTGATTTCATTATAAGCTGTATTCTCCCACAATGTACTAAGCAATTTGCTATCAAGTTAGTGCAGTGTAGCTAAGACATCTGGTACCATACTATAACTCTGTTGGATTACAACTGCACAATTCCCAGCTTGCAGAGCCATTGACTGGAGAAAGCTATCCTAAATAATCAATTGCTTCACAGTGTAATTGGGAACTTGGATTTTGATAATAATTTCAAGTGATAAATTTTATCTTTAAAAGATATGAAAGAAAGTCTTTGAGACAGCAGAAAACATACTTTTTTGAAGTGAAAAAGTTGGCTTGTTAATGCAATTTACTCTAAATTAATGCCCGCTTAATATTCTGGACTGCAACAACCATAAACATGTGGGCTGCAGGCGATATGGGAGTCATAGCCAATCACATATG